GGTTTTCCATCTCCTGGTTTATTAACCAGTTAATTTGAAGTCTGACTTTCCCCTCCTCAGATCACTGAAATCGCTGCCCAGATTTAGCGCCGCCTCTGGGTACTGTCCTCTCCCGCGCTGCGCAGGGCACATGCAGATTTCGCCTCCTTGGAACTCCCCGGCGCCTCCCAGGGCCTTTTGTTTCTCCCACGAACTCGACACCCACCCTCTCCTGTCCCCTCACCACGCTTGGCTCCCTCCTTTGTGCAGGCAGGCCCTTCACGGAAACCTGGCCGCCCCGCCTGGCCAGGCCGCACCCACCCTGACACCCGGCTGCGGCCGGACACCTGGGCGGGCGTGTGCCACCGGCACCTCCGTTTCGGCATTTCCAGGCCGGGTCATGCTCCCTGACAGTCGCGCCGCCCCATGGTCGTGATCCCCGGTGGCTCCCCGGGGTTCTCAGGCCCATCAGTTCTCCGCACACCCCGTGGTCGTGATCCCCTGTGGCTCCCCCGGGTTCTCAGGCCCATCAGTTCTCCGCACACCCCGTGGCCGTGATCCCCTGTGGCTCCCCCGGGTTCTCAGGCCCATCAGTTCTCCGCACACCCCGTGGCCGTGATCCCCTGTGGCTCCCCCGGGTTCTCAGGCCCATCAGTTCTCCGCACACCCCGTGGTCGTGATCCCCGGTGGCTCCCCCGGGTTCTCAGGCCCATCAGTTCTCCGCACACCCCGTGGCCGTGATCCCCTGTGGCTCCCCCGGGTTCTCAGGCCCATCAGTTCTCCGCACACCCCGTGGCCGTGATCCCCTGTGGCTCCCCCGGGTTCTCAGGCCCATCAGTTCTCCGCACACCCCGTGGCCGTGATCCCCTGTGGCTCCCCCGGGTTCTCAGGCCCATCAGTTCTCCGCACACCCCGTGGCCGTGATCCCCTGTGGCTCCCCCGGGTTCTCAGGCCCATCAGTTCTCCGCACACCCCGTGGCCGTGATCCCCTGTGGCTCCCCCGGGTTCTCAGGCCCATCAGTTCTCCGCACACCCCGTGGCCGTGATCCCCTGTGGCTCCCCCGGGTTCTCAGGCCCATCAGTTCTCCGCACACCCCGTGGCCGTGATCCCCTGTGGCTCCCCCGGGTTCTCAGGCCCATCAGTTCTCCGCACACCCCGTGGCCGTGATCCCCTGTGGCTCCCCCGGGTTCTCAGGCCCATCAGTTCTCCGCACACCCCGTGGCCGTGATCCCCTGTGGCTCCCCCGGGTTCTCAGGCCCATCAGTTCTCCGCACACCCCGTGGCCGTGATCCCCTGTGGCTCCCCCGGGTTCTCAGGCCCATCAGTTCTCCGCACACCCCGTGGTCGTGATCCCCGGTGGCTCCCCCGGGTTCTCAGGCCCATCAGTTCTCCGCACACCCCTGTGGCCCGCTCCCCGCTCGCTCCCCACGGCCTCGGGCTGCGCGTCGCTCGCGCTTTGATTTCCCAGCGGCAGCCTTGCTTCCTGTCTGCGCTTCTCTGCTCCCCCGGCACTCACGCGTGTCCCTGCAAGTCCTCTCCCCGAGGCCTGGGTTTTTCGCATCTTTTCTCCAGCTTAAAAATCCTGTCCTATTTCCTCATTGCCACAGAATGGAGTCAGTGACTTTAAAACAGCTTGGTAATGGATAGTTAAAAGCATTGATGTAGCTGTCATGGGAAAAATCAGAGCTCGTTGGACTTACACTGATTTTACCCTGCAGTGAGTACATGTATTTCACATACATGTGCATAGATATGTATGCCTACCAGAAAATTTTACGCTGTAGATTACATAAACTATGACTTTCAAGTTAGAGTTCTTAGGCCTATAAAAGTTTTGCTTGTACACGAAGTACACTCTTTGGGCCTAAATTTCAAAGCTAGCACAAATAATGTGAACCCAAACTAACTTTCTTACTTTATTTCTCACAATTTTCTTCCATGGGCCTTTCACTGTAGCCAAAGGCTGTATAGCCCTGAACTCTTCGAATTCTCTTCTCTCTGTCTTCTCTTGTGTACTTGCTCCCCCCTAACTAGAATGTCCATCCACCAATGTTCTGTTTCTAATGTCTCCTCACCCTTTCAAGCCCACCCCAACTGTCAGCCCTGCTCTGAAATCTCAGAGTTCCCAGGCTGACAGCAATCTCTTATTCCTCCAAATTCACCAGGACATATTTTCCTTTTGTCAGAGCCCTTAACACTTCCAGCCTTCCTTTACAGCATATGTGTCGTTCAATGAACAGTTGAATTGTCTGTTTGGACTTAGTAGTTTAAAAATGTTCATCTGAAAGAACGCTGTATGTGCAGCCGCTGTGGAAAGTGACATGGCAGCACCTCAGAAAGCTGAACATAGAATTACCATAGGATCCAGCAGTTTCACTCCTGAGATAAACAGGTACATGTTCATAGCCACATTGTTCACATAAGGAAAAGGTGAAAGCCACCCAGTGTTCATTGATGGATAAATGGACAAACAAGGTGTAGTGTGTACATGCAGTGGAATATTATTCAGCCTTAAAAAGGAATGAGATGCTGACACACACTACAACATAGATGATTCTTGAAGACATTATGCTAACTGAAATAAGCCAGACACAAAAGGACAAAAATTTGTAATTCCACTTACATGGGGTACCCAGAGTAGTCAAATTCATAGAGACACAAAGTAGAAGGATAGTCACCAGGGGATAGAAAGGGAGGGGGGAAATGAGGAGTTAGTGTTTAATGTGTGCAGAATTTCATTTGGAGAAGATGAAAGACTTCTGGAAATGGATGGTGGTGATTGTTGCACAGCAATATGAATGTCCTTAATGCCACAGAACTATACAGTTAAAACAGTAGATTCTATATTATGTATATTTTACCACAATAAAAAAACTAGTTCAGAGGAAGAATGCTTGTTGTGCTTCTTTAGATGAAAGGAATATTCTGCTAGTGAATTTGAGTGTTGATTGGGAACTGGAACTGCTCCACCTCAGATTCACTGAAACTTGAAACTTCCTGGCACGTCTCTGTGTTCTTTGGCACTTGGCATTAATACATGCTTCCAGACTCGTATAAAATTTTTGGTTGGAAAGAAACATACAATGATAAAAATCTGTGTAAATAAATAATTGATTACACCAGTGGCTTATAAATTATGCTGATAGTTTCAATTTCTCCTTCCATCTCTTCATTTTCAAAACTTGATTTAAATCTGTAAATAGTCATTCCATGGCTAAACTTTTCAAAATGTGTATTAATTTCTGATTACTAAATTAATATGTGCTTATTATAAAATACTCAAGCTTTATTAAAAAGTGTGTTTAGAAAGTGAAAGTCCCCCGTGATCTCAAGTGATAACTGTTAACAGTTTGGAGCATGTGTATTTTGTGTGCATATAAATGTCATTGGTAACAAAAATATTGTTACTCTTACATATATACTGCCAATGGCATTTATATTTAAAAATAAATTTTTGATATCATTATATGTCTAGATATCCATCTCTATATTTTTAAGCTACTGCACTGTGTTCTATTGTGAAGTTACATCTTAATTTAACCCATATATGAATTGATGGGGCATACGTCACTATTCTAATAATATATGCTGAAGTGAGCAATGATATTCATATTGTGTGTGTGTGTGCACGCGCGTGTGTGTGTGTATGTACCACTGTGTTTCTGAATGCTAGACGTGGAATGGCAGGATCAAGTTAAAAGCATGTTTATAATTTTAACAGATAGCTGCAAAATTTTAATTCTACTTTGTCTGGCCTTTAACATCCTAAATACTTCAGCAAAGTTGCAATTGACTGTATAGTAGAAGCTGATAGTTTAGATGCTTCAGTTACAATAATCTAATGAGGATATGTAAGCCTGATGTGTTGGGTTTTTTCAAGCCCCAGATTCAGCTTACTTTTCAAGGTAACAAAATACCTTGATGGAAATGCCTGCACCTCAGCCAATGAATTCTCCAAGCCTCAGGATTCAGCTTGTGTAACTGGGTAACTAAGAAAGTTTGGAACAATAAATTAGCAGCTGCTCCCCATCCCTAGGATATCTACCTTCGTCACCTCTTTAGATATTGCTTATCCCATTAGCTCAAACTCTCCTGAAAGTCCTCTACTAAACAACAAAGCCACCGTTAACATTTCATAAATCACTTACTGACGTTACAACCTCACCACCCACAACAAATCCCAGCTGAAATTTGGTGATTGTTTTGACTCTGATAATTACAATGTTTGTCAGATTCCAGAAGTGCAACGATTATATTTTCCACTTTTGTTGTGTCTCCTTAGGTTTATTCCTTCGCGGAAAATTATAGATGGGCTTTAATTTTTCCATATCATCTTAGGCCATGTGGCCTATAAGTGTTATTTTGTAATTTAGTAAAGGGCCACAAAAAAAAAGCAAAGTACCTAAATAGCTGTCGATGGGTTTGTATTTTCAAAACAAAGCCCATGGGAATAAAACTTGCTTCTCCTTCACCAGAAATTCCCACGGTGCAAGTATGTTAGTAATTCATGAAAGCTGAAGGCATGATTCCTTTGTAGAGAAAGGGAAATGATATTTATTCACTCATTCATTCATTTGGCTGACATTTATTGAGAATTTACAGGGTTCCAAGCACCCATAGAATAATGTACGTTATATTCTACTCCCTTCACCTCCAACCTTAATACTGAGTGTCTTCTGTAAATATGAAAAACGTACCAAATATGAATTCTTCATGTTTGAAGGACATTTAAGCATATTTCAAGACTAAATTACTCTACATCATAGAGAAATGAAAACTTGTTTTGGGGGAGTATATGTACACATGCACATTTTTTCTCTCTGATTAAAAATTATTTACACATCTGTGCCCAGGATTCAGGATAATGAAATTCAACCGCAGAAATGATTAAATAATATATAATTGTAGTGTTGGAATTTATCAGTTTAGAGTGGTTGCCTCCGTAGTCACCTTTCCTTTGATCTTCTTGTCGATGTTATTGTTATTGACTTCAAATGTCTCCATAGTTTTGCTCAGTGGAATGTGCCTTGACAGAGTAATTATATGTTATCAGGCAGTTGAAGATCAACTAAAGATATGTGGCCACAAGAGGGATGCTGATGTCTTCGAGCTGTTCCTTTCTCAAAAGTAAGTGTACTTTATGTAAGAAATAGAAGAGCATCGATTATAATGTTTCTCAGTTTCAAATGTTCTTTTCCAGTCCCCCCACCCCAATACCACACTCTAATTACTGCACCACTCACTGGAGTCACAGCCCTGCTGGAGAGGCGGCGTGCGGGAACAGACGAGAACATAGGTTATGGAGCCAAGCTAAGTTTGAATCCCAGCTCGCTCTCTCCCATCTGGGTGATCTTTGTCAGGTTTAGCAAATAAATATATGGAATGTCCAGTTATATGTGAATTTCAGAGAAACAAATGAATATACATTTTTAGCATAAGTATGCCCCACACTGCATTTGTTGTTCCTCTGAAATTCACAAACTGGGTATCCTGTATTTTATCTGGGAACCCTATTGCCTCCATATGTATAACAATACTGCCTGCTTCACAGGGCTGTTAGGTGAATAGTAAGCACTCAGTGAGCATTAGTGCAGTTAATAGTATTACTGTTACTAGAGAAAAATGACTCATTATACCCCTATACTATAAAATAACCCCTATTGTCGTAGGACCCCTAGCTAAACACCCCTGTACTAATTTTACTGGTAAGTGGGAAAACCTCTCCTTTTTGTAACAACCTCCTTTGATTTCACTCCAACTCCCCAGGGTGGCACGTGGCAAAGGCAGTGTGCTATACAGAGCAGCCACTGTGCCTAAGATGGGAGCCAGGGGGAGGAGGAGTATGGGTCGCATTGGACTCTGACAGCACAGCGTTTACTAGCCAACAAGTGACACCTGTGCAGTCACAATTTGCATTTTAATAACAATGACCCTATTTCTACTCTTCCTTTCCCCCCTTCATGCTTTTTAATATCCGTGAATTCTATGCATTTTAGATAGGCTTGATATATTTCTACTCATATGTTGTAATCTATAGAACGCAGTTACTCTTTAAAGAAAATGTCCTACTTTATCAATGAAGCTAATCACTTTACCTGTGGTAATTGGAGGAAATCCTCTATTAAAGATGCTTCTTTCGAGATATAGAAATATTTTTTAGTTTATTAGTGCAGAGAAAGCTATTCATCTTTGCAGTGGCCCTGAATCTCTTGGGAGCAAGACCAATTTAAGGTTTTTAAAAATATGTTTTTTATTTATTTTTTATAGTTTATCTTTATTGTTGAAAGTATTACAGATGTCCCCTTTTTTTCTCCCATTGACCCCCTCCATCCTGCTCCTGCCCCCTCCCCAGGCTTTCACCACACTATTGTCTGTGTATGGGTTATACATACATTCATGGAAGTTCTTTGGTTAATCTTTCTCCACCCACCCACCCCCCTTCCCTCTGAAATAGGCCTGTTGCATGCTTCAATGTCTCTGTGTCTATTTTGTTCTTCAGTTTATTTTGTTCATTAGATTCCACATATGAGTGAGATCATGTGATACTTGTCTTTCTCTGACTGGCTTATTTCACTTAGCATAATACTCTCCAGGTCCCTCCATGCTGTCTCAAAGGGTAAGATCCTTCTTTTTTACAACTACATAGTATTCCATCGTGCGTATGTACCACAGTTTTTTTATACATTCATCTACTGATGGGCACTTGGGTTGTATATATTTTTAGAATGGAACAAGAATGGTAGATAATTCTGACACACTTAGGGCCATGCTTTGAACCTTTCTATGGATTAGTTACTATTACAATAACAATAAATATTTTATGTGATCAAAAGATTACACCTCAGCCTTTCATGATTTTAACAACTGTACACTAGTGACCTAACGGGTAAGTAGATTACAAAAAAGAAAATATTTAAGACACTAGAAAATAAATTAGAAATATTGATCTCTGACAGTGGGTAATTAGTGGTCTTCTCAACCAAAAGACAACACATTTTATAGCCTAAGAATAAGAAATTGCCATTTAATCCATCTGGATACAAAAAAAAAAAATTCTCAGTTTGGACACCAGTAAACTGGGTTATTTGCCTGTCTCTGTTGTCCCTGGAAAATGGAAAGCATCTTCCAATGAGTCCTTGAGTAATCACTGAGAACATATACTGTGGCAGATGTTCTTTACCGAATACCAGGAAATAAATGTAAAAAGGAGAGCATTAGAAGTCACCATTTTATAATACCAAATCTACTGATTCAGGTGAAGGTCACCCATAGAAGCTAACGCCGTGGAATAAATAGTTTTTAGGTAATGAGATATATATATAGTCTCTGAGTTTTCCCCACATATCACTTTTCAGAGATAAAATTTGTACTTTTTATAATGGAGAGACCTGGCAAATACAGCCTTAACCCAGTGACTGAACTTAGCTTCAGCAACAGTGGGACAAAGTAGCATCATTTGTCTCCTGATGTGACGCAGTAATTACCACCTTTGTAATTGAAAAGTGACCTACCTTGAATTTATTCATGAGGAAGCAATCAGGCAAATCAATAATGTGAGACATTCTATCATGCAACTGTCCTGGACTTTTTTTTCAAAAAGTCAGTGTTAAGGGGCATAAAGGAGAGATAGTGACTATTCTAAATGGAAGAACAAGGGATTATACCAACTGAAAAAGCAATGTATGAGTGTTGACAGGATTATGGATTTAAACAAAGTATAAAATGTAGGGGGCAACAGGGACAATCTGGATATGAACAGTATATTAGATGATATTAATTCAGTTTAATTTTCTTAGATGTGATAATGATATTGTGGTTATGCAAGAGAGTGCCCTTATTTAAGGGATGTGCATGAAATATTTAGGAGTGAGAGCCCTGCAATAATAAGTCTGTGGGAAACTATCAACCAATAAACAGATAAATGATATAGGTAAGCGAGAGTGAGTACTAGTGTGGCAAAACATTAAAAGTTATAAGTGCTACCTAAGCATTCACTGTACTGTCCCTTCAGCTTTTCTTAGATTTAGAATTTTTCAATATAAAAATTTGGTGAGAGAGGTTTATTTTGTTCAGAAATGTTTTCATGATTTAAAATATATATTTGCTTAAAAAATTAGGAAAATAATTAGTCCCTCAGTGTCCCAAGGTTAAATAAATATAAATGTGAGAGGATGTTGCCACAAATGAGTTAATATAGGTAATGTTAATTAACATTACTATTTTAAAATTGCTTAGAAAAGTGCCTGGCACACAGGGTGTGCTCTGTAAGTGTTTGACAAATAGAGATATATATGTATACATACTCAGCCTGGGCCCACAATTTCTGTCCTGAGAAATCAGAGAGCCCACAGCAGTCCCCCAGAGGCTTTGCCCTCTTTGCTGACATCTTCCTCCTGACCTGTGTCTGCCCCTTAGCTGAGTGAGCTACACCAGCAACAAGGCTCAGGGCCACTGCACAGTTCAAGAAGGATGGGCCTCTATTTAATAAACAACAAAGGAAGAATAAAACACTTGACCCAGTCTCTGTCTCTTGGGGCACTGCAGTCTCCATATCTTAAACCCAGTCTGGCCAAAATCTGGACAACCCCAAAGTAAGAACGCTGCAGACACTGTTGAAGCAGGAGCTAACGGCATTTCCCACACTTCCCTGTGAGTCCGGTCTCTTCTGCACTTTTATCCCTCTACCTTCTTTCCAGTAAAATCTTTTTTTAATTGACATTCCAATAAATTAAGTCATAATGAGATATAAGTTTCTACTAATGGGATAAAATGCTCCCCTTTAAGTATTTGTTTTAACTGGCTAACAAAATCTTAATCCAAATGAATGAAGCTTTAAAGATGGGATTTTGGAAATTAGTATGTAAATGCCAACAATTTTGAAAGGACAAAGAGAGAGTTTTCAGTTACTCCAAAGTCCTACTGTATCTCCTGCCTTACCCATAACTGAACTAATCATTGCTAATGTTTACTTTCTTTTTCAGGGAACTGACAGATGTCATTGATCTTTCTAGGTTTAAAAAATTAAAATACTTGTGGCTACATCATAACAAGGTAACGTAATATTTTCTTTAAATGGCTCCATAATTCAGTTACTTTCTTCATATCATGTTTTTAATAGAGCTACTCTTTAAAAGTATTATTTTATATACCTAATTTAAACTTAGGTAAGAAAGTGTATCTGCATATATGTATGTATATGGAATAACACAATTTGTGAGATGCTATGTACTGCAGCTACTTTTGTCTCCCATGTTCTCCCCAAGCTGCTCAGTGAAGTCTGCTCCTTCCCAGGCTCCTGGAAGAAACTTCAGCAGCCTCATGACTTTTCTCCTCTCTCCTACACCATTCAAAACCTTACCGTTCATTTCAGTTATAGTTATAGTTCAGAAATGAGAATGTCTAGGAGAACATATTAATCAACTTTCGATCTCTGTTCATAAATGAGACATCCCTTCTCCTTCCCGCCCATATCCACCTGACAGCAGATGTCACCTGCCTTCTTTATTAGGTAGGCGGTGTGGTGGGTTTTCCTTCCCTCTTACCTTCATCCCAATCTTCTCCAGGATTGGTATGGAATGGGGAGGCGAGGATGCAGAGAGGAGGCAAAGAAGAAACAGTTATTTGATTTGCACCCTTTGCTACTAACAAATGTTCAAAATTGAGGGGTTTTTTTCCTAATGGGTTATTGAGAAGTTCCCCTACTAGGTTACTTCAACTCTGATTCCTCTCTGCTGACTACTTCTGACTGCCCCTCACCTTTTATTCCGTGGTACTTACAACTGAGTGTCTCCTGGCCTTGGCAAAGTACCCTCGTATGCAGGATTCTTTGTAAAGTGACCCAGATCAACATTCCTCAGTGGCCCTGCATGCAATTCCCAGGACTCACACAACTTTGTCCTGCTATCAGAGGCAGAGGGGTTGGTTACCTCCCAGCAGCCACCCAAGCTGATCTAGCTTCCTCAGGAAGTGGCAAGAATCTAAGCCATCCTATCCCCAACTGCAGGGAACACCCTTCAGGGTCACTGAGTGTAGCCCCTGAAGCTTCTCTTACAGCAGTGATTTTCAACCTTTTTCATCTCATGGCACACACAAACTAATTACTAAAATTCTGTGGTACACCAAAAAATATATTTTTTTGCCAGTCTGACAAAAGAATAGGTATAACTTTCATATAAGATGGCTATTGTTGTATTGCTGTTGTCATTTTTTTATTTGACAATCTAAGGGAAAAGAGCTCAATGCCCCTGGGTTATCAGGTATTGCATGTTTTAAATTCTTACAACACACAGGTTGAAAATCACTGTCTTAGAGGCTAGCATTTAGGAGGCCATTGCCTTTCCCATAGTGGGAGCCTGAGTGGGGCTCCAAGCTCTCTCCAAGTCAAAGAGCACGACTAAACTAAAATGCAAACCCAAATAGTCATTACAGTTAGCTAGTCAGTAAGTTATTCCTATCTTTCAAAAAAATTGACTTTCCAACGGCTTTTATTTTGCTCATTCTAAATCCATTATCCAGTCTTAGCATTTTGAATTTGGACTTTCAAACATCTGCTGAGTAAAAAAGCTTTTTAGAGTTTTCAGCAGTAGTATGCTTGTGGAGCAGTGGTTCAGATCCACAGCATTGCATCCTGAAGCAGCCGTGAGTACGAAAGCATTTCAATATTACGTTACACGTTCAGTCTTTTTTAAGCCAACTCAATGGAAAATGAAAGTGCTTCTAGTATTAAGTGTAAGCATAAGTCTCATAAGCTTGACATCATTTCTAGGAGAACAAACCCAAACAGCTTGGAGACCCAGCCAGCTAACGACTGAAATGGAAAGTACACGCACCACTTAAGGGTATGCAAGTTCAAAACTCTTCAAAACACTCGGCCAAAAATTATCCCGGGTCACGGTGTGCGGCCTCTGATTAGAAAAAGATGGAAATCATCAGGCATGGCAAAAGTGACTCATCTTTATTTTTCATGTGTGCTCCTTGTGGTGTTCAGTTTTGAGGGAAAGAACAGTACATATGTTGGCAGTAGGTCTAAAGGGAGAGGTAATTAGGATTTTGTAAATTTTTTTGCATTCTAATAGTGGACACTGTCCCACCTCCACCTCCAACCAGTCATTGAATGTTCATACAGTTTACTGACATAGTGGGATCCTGAGTGGCGCTCCAAGAACATAGGAGGGGATTGAGTACACTGTCAACTATTTTACTTTCTTTTGTATTTGAAGGGGGATTGGCAGGGGAAGGGATGCAACAGCAGGCAGAATTCACTTCTTGTACTTGGTTCTTTATGTCCAACAAACTAACTTTATTATTTCCCAAATCACAATCACTTAACTTTGTTCTTTAAAAAAATACTTATTTAGTCCACATAACACTGGAAAGATAATATACACAAAATAAGTTTTAAGTGTTCATGGGGTACATGAATGAACTGTTGTGAGTTTTCCCATTGATCAATAATTGGTTGCTAAGTTACCTTACTATTCACACTGCATGAAAAATTGAAATTCTGATTCAAGATCCAAAATGCTAAAGGGTATATTAGCTATGATAGTACTTCCTCAGAGGTCCCTTGTTTCCTCTGGATATTTTCTTGCCTAGATATGAAGCCAGGAATCACCCTACTAAGTTGAGAATGGGTCCAACATTTAGAGAAAAGCAGAACCCAGAAAATCATTGAGATACTAAGACGGAGGCTCTCACAGCTCTGGACTCCTTGGTGTGTGACATGAATAAGTGTTCTAATTTATGCACCAGTTTGAGTTAACCTTAGAAGTTACTTGGAGCCAGTAGCATCCTATCTGATATGGCTTACTCTGTACTTGCGTTTCGGCTACTGATAGAATATAACAATAAATGTGATGGTACCTGGTCTGGTGATAAAAACAGGAAGCGCAGAGGGGGTGACTACGCTCCTGGTAAGGATGTTGCATTTGCAAACTTCCTAGAGTGGAATGAGAAAGTAGTCTTGGGAGGCAGTAAATGTAGCCTGGTGTGTTTGGAGCCCTGCATGCTAGAAGGGTGAGCACTTCCCCCATTTATTATCTGGTTCTATAGCATGATAAACTGGAAGTTCTGGTCTGACCCTGGACTAGCAAACTAAATAGGACCACCAGTGCCCCAGCTTTCCTAGGTTTGATCAGGTAAGCCTGGTTCCTTTATTATGCTCTCTTAGAGCTGGTTTTCTCTTCACACTGCACAGAAATTCACTAGTTCTGCTTTTCTTCCCTTTATGGGTCCCCTTTTCCTAATCGTGCCTGGTATAAGAGCGGGAGGCAGCTGCAATTAGGTGCATATTAACTGAGACCTTCTAAAGGCTCCTTTCCATGTCCCATCTTCTAGCGAGCCTGAGCAAGAGAATTTTCCGTCCATAGTTCTTCCTTTCCAACTTTTCATGAGAAGTTGAGTCTGCTCAGACAAGTGATCTAGGTGATTTGTCTTTTATATTACAGTTAAGTTGTGTTTTGGCTCATTAACTCAAAAAAATTTTTACAGAATTTAATACTAAGCCTGTAATATTGGTAGCACAATGCTAGTAGTTTTCTATTTCTGGAAGAACTAGCAGTACTTTGGTAGTTTCATTTGTGTCAGATTAGAATAAGCATTTGATTTAAAAAAGCAATAACAGCAACAACAAAAAACCTTACCAAGCAGCTGTCCAAAATGGAATCTGAGTTTCTTCCATGAAGCAAAAACCAGTTGGCAAATTTTACAAACTAAATTTAAATAAAAATACCTCTTCTGGCAAAGTCAATGTTTATAAACTTCATCATCTAAAAAATAATTGAAATACGTATTTATAATAACATTTTCTACACAAACTGACTAGAGAATGGTTAGATTAAAACAAAATTGCTTTCAGAAAGATCCTGAGCTCATTCTTCTATGCCATCATGATATGTTGTTTCTTATCTCCCAGACATTTAGCATATGTTGAAAATTTGGTAAAGAGCACAGATTTATATATTTTAGGAAGGAATATTGGTGTTCAAGATTAGCAAATGACGATTTTAAAATTGAAATACTTATTTTTAACGTGCTGTTTTAAATATTTGTAAAGAATTTTTTGAATGGCAGCACTTGTTTTCAGGTAGCTTTATGAGCTTTGTATCATGGAGTTTTAGTTGGTTCCTTTCGTCAGGTTTGGGTATACATATTTCAGTTTTTCACTTGTACATACCCTACCTTGTTCCAAAAAACAATTTACAGCAGCACAAACCCCATAGTAGAGTGTAGGAGCAGTGAAAATGTTGAAGGAACCGGCACGCATTCCATATAATTTGGGCTCTTGTGTGTTTCTGTTACCTCAGGGCAACATTAATTATATCCTTCATGTCAACTTTGTTGAAAGAAACATATTTTGCCAAATATTTAAAGCCTCCTCAAAAAAGTAAGTCAACATAAATAACCTAAATAAGACTTCAGTGCATGGTTGTGAAATTCATAGACATGTACGCTATAGATTTTATTATTCTTAAAAATGATTTACCTGAGGAATGTAACCTGTTTTTGGAAAAGAGCATATGCAAAAAAAATAGTAACATGGAATAAATAGGGGAAAACATGACAATAAAAGTCCGTTTATTCTGGATAAGATAATTATTTTTAAAGTATAAATTGTATTAAGTATTGTACATATTTTAAACTAAGCTAAACATAAATGATGTTTTAAAAATTTATTGAATAGGAGCACCATAAAAGTGAATTTAGGAATCTTGGAAGTATATTGCAATTTTTCTTTTTTCTCCTAAATAATTATGTATATTATTAAAATTATCCCCAATTAATCCTTAGAGTTTTATGTAAATTTAGGAAATGTTGTGATTTTAATATTCAAACATACAGTAATAGACCCTTTTAAATAACACATAATTATAGAATTTTCAGAATTTTTTCATGTCGTTTAATTACTGATCTATAGGTCTTTGTCCTCAGGTTTTAACCTTGGTACTAATGACTATTTGAACTGGATGATTCTTGGTTGTGGGGGCTGTTCTGTGCATTTTTGGATGTTTAGCAGCATCCCTGGCCTCTATCCACTAAATGCCAGAAGATTTCCCCCTAGAAGTGACAACTTAAAATATTTCTAGACATTGACAAATGCCCCCTGGAGGGAAATTGCCCCCCACTGAGATTCACTCAATTCAGTAGACGTAGTGATCTGTAGAAACCTAAGTCAAAACATGTCATTCCTCTGCTCAAAACCTCCACCGATTTCCTGTTAATTTCAGGCAGCTTCTTACACTCACCCTGCAAGGCCCCGCACAAGTAGACCCCTGATCACCTGTCTGACCTCATTCCCCACCTTCACTCCCTGGCTCACTCTGATCCAACCACACCAGGCACTGTACTGTCCTTGACCTATGCATTGGCTGGTCCCCAAGCGCTCCTTCTACAAGCCCCCTCATCAAGTGTTTGTTCAAAGATTACCTCCTCTGTGAGGCCCACTCTGATCAACCCACTTAAAATATAACACCACCTTCATACTGGCACCCCCAATATCCATGGTTGCTTTCCCATATCACATCAACTGATGCCATAATATATAATCTACTTATTGTACATATCATTTGTTTTCTCTTTCCCTGCTAGAAAAAAAAAAGGCAGGGATTTTTGTCTGTTTTGTTCACAGCTGTACACCTCAGCAGCGTGTCTACACATAGTAGATGCTCAACAAGTATTTGTTGACTGGGAGGATGAGTAAATAAAAATCCTAATATTTTCTGCCGAGGTGACCTTTTCTTTGCATATATGCTGGTTAAGGTAATGGAAGTTCACTTAATAGAAGTATGCTTTGGCTGAGTGAAGCAGAAAAATCACATATTGAAAAGACATTGCATAGAAAAGACATTGCAGGTAGCTTAAGAATCAAGTGTAAAATACTCTCAGGATCTAGGTGAGCCGTGGTCAAACCTTGTCCAGAACTGGTTTCCACACTGTTGACTTGCCCGTCAACACCAGAATCACATGCATGTGCCAAGCCTTGAGCTAAGAGAGATTTGTAAAATGTAAAAAATATTTATATTTGTAAATATAAATCCTATCGCAATCCTTATAATCAATAGTGTAGATTTCTTAAGGGATAATTATAATAACATTTTACTTTAACGATGGCTGGAATATCAGGACATTCAGCATGTTTTCTGATTCCTGTTTCTAGATCTTGACTTCAACAGCTTGCTACATTGTAATGTCTATTATGTCCTGTGAATTTTACCTTGGAACTGTCTCTCACTTTTCTCTCTCCCTGGACAGCCATTACTCTACTCTGAGCCAGCATATATTCTTCTGAATCAACATTTAACACCCTTTTCATCTCCTGCCATTAAATTTGCTAATCCTTCTAAACTATGTTCTTCCCTGCCATTTTCTTTCTAAAATAAAATTAGGCAATGGCACTCTTTTGCACAGAATATTTCAATAGCATCCTTATGATCTGGCTTTATCTCTTTCCTCTTCACTCCCACCACCCCTCTTACCCCAACAAACAGGGCAATATTAAAATAACAATAACCATGGTCAAAGAATGTTAATACTCTTGGGAAAACTATGATTCTATAATCAAAATGAATCTGTTGAGTTCATTAGTACTCTTCGTATGTTAATGAGTAATGCAAGAGAAATCAAAGCCTGGACAATTAGTACTGTTCTGTTATTGTGTGGTCAGGCAGGCTACTGGAAAAGGAGAGGGGGAAAAGTCATGGCTTCCGCTGATGCTCCTTTTCTATGCTGTGATGTCAGGTGTGGCTATATTTAGATCAGGGCGTGGTAAGGAGGAGGGAGGTAGTGAGTTGCTGTCAAGAGGCTGATAGGAAAAGTAGAAAGGGTTAGGAAATTGACTGGAAACCAATCATCACTGCTTTGAATGGTTCCCTAACTGGGGAAACATGACTGCTCTCATGACTTAGCAAAAGCTGGGGTGCAGTCATTGGTGGTTCTCCAACATGAGTGCTGACATCGTTTAGTGCAGATGAATCTGTGAAATGATGAAAGGAGCAGCACACGTGCCTTTTATAGCTTCAGAATTTGTAAATGGTGTAAACATAACAAAATAGTAAAGAAAATTCATTAAAGAAACCAGTTTTCAAACTTTGGATGCAGATCGAAAATAGCTTTTCTGAGGTATGAGAGGGCAAGAGTAAAATTTCCAATAAATCCTCACTGTATCAGGTAGGTCGGCATCCTTCTATCTAAATCAGTCTATCAAAGGCCAAAACAGTTCCATTTAACTGTCAACAATAGTTCCCATAATAGGCTTTAATAAACACATAACACTAATTTACAATCCTGAGCATATATTTCTATGGAGAGAGAGTACTAAGCACTTGATCAATTACTGTTCCATGAGAATCTTCTCCCTACTAGATCCTGCATGAAGTAGTAAAGGCCTCATTCTTCTGCTTACCTCACCTACTGCTTTAAAACACACCTGTCCTACCTCTGTGACTCCACCTTCTCTCATTTCATAATTCAAACAAATCTGTTACAGTTTACTAAGTTTATAGAGTTGATATTTAAAAAATAACGATAGAGTTCTTCTTGCAATTCTGACATTCAGTTTAGAGTTGAATACCACATATCATGCATACAGTATTTAATAGTTCAATTGAGGAATTTTCAATAGTGCCTTTTTGCAACACTGAGAGTGACAGCTCTACTCTACATTGACCTGAGCTCTGGTTTACAAAATTAAGATACATTAATCTAATAACATAATCTGGTCATCTGAATAGAAGGGAATGCAGGGGGGGCATTTCTTTAGAGAGGAATGGCCACACAGGAATTTAATTTTATTTGTGGTGTTTAAATGTGTTACAGCGGTAATGTGTTTGTGAATTATTACTGTTTATTTAAAAATACATTTAAAATAAAACAAAGCTGTCAGAAAAAAAGAGTGATTTTGACTATTTCCCAGTTCATATACAACTAAAGTTTGAATCGAAGCTTAAAAGTAAGATTCAGCCCAGCTAGCGTGGCTCAGCGGTTGAGCATCGACCTAGGATCCAGGAGATCGGGGTTCGATTCCCAGTCAGGGCACATGCCCAGGTTGTGGGCTCGATCCCCAGTCGGGGGCATGCAGGAGGCAGCTTCTCTCATCATTGATGTTTCTCTCTCTCTCTTTCCCTCTCCCTTCCTCTTCCTGAAATCAATAAAAATATGTTAAAAAAAAAAAAAAGTAAGATTCGCCTTCCCCCATACCACTAGGAGAATGGGGAGACGGGAAGAAGAATAAGACACTGAATAAATACGGTCCTTTCCTCAAGGGAGACACAAAACTAATGACCAAGTGATTAATCGTACCAGTCAAATGAGGTGTTGGAGTAGTCAAGAAAATGGAGGTTCCCGGGCACAGAGGTTGTCAGGAAAGGCCTTATTTAGAAAGATGAGCCGTGGAGTAACAGGGTTATGCTCGCTCTGCCTCACCCTCTCCTCCCGGACGCCGGCTGGTGGAGCTTTAGCACTGGGCCTGACCTGGCAGAGTTGCCTCCTGTCTCTATTCAGACTACAGAGTCCTTGGCTAACCTTAGGAGGTCTTCCTACCAGAAGGACAGTGAGCTGGAGAACAGGAGATGGTTCCTAGTCTGGGGCATAAAGAGTTCAGAATTAGACCATCACTCAGGATATCTGACTCAAAGTACTGGAGCAGTGGAAGTTTAAAAAAACAAAAAGTGGGTCAAAACAGCAAGAAGACAGTAGTAAGATGCAAGGAGATCAAAGGATTGTTTCAACAAATCTCTGGAGCAGAGGAAACCTCCTGCGGTGGCCCACCCACTCAGCATGGCTTCGTGTGCCTTGCTGGCCTAGGGCTGATCCTTAGGAAGCATCAGAAATGCACCAGGAAGAAAAGTCATGCAGGCCAAGAGGAATCGTAACTCATATGCAGATGCAGAAATGGTCTGAGAGAGCCCTTGGCACATGATAGGCACTTTATAGTATGTGATGGTGAATGAGTTGGTATGTGGGAGCCAGATCCAATGAGCCTATATGGGGCAGAATTGTGTGAAATGTTAGAGCAAAAGGTCTAGGGAGGCCCTTTAACAGAGGCTTTGGAGACCGTGCAAGGAAATTTGGTCAAGATATGGTAAAAGGGGTTTATAATAAGTGAGCTAAAAACATCCTTTTTACCACCTTGTTCTCAAAGACAATCCAGATGTAAATTAGTAGCCCAGACCAAAATGTAGCAAATAATAAAAAACAACAGCAAACAGCAAACTTCTATGTTGTTCTTATAATTTTATAGGTATATGTCTGTATAATTATTGTAGAAAGTAAATTGTTTTCTAACTCTCCATTTTCAGCTCCATGGAATAACATTTCTAATTAGAAACTATTGTCTGACAGAACTATATCTAAACAACAATGCAATAATCGAAATAGAAGGTATGTCTAAATTTTCTCTGTTGATGAAGTGAATTTACAATTAAGTAATAACTTTTAACTATACAATTGCTAATGGCATGCAAAGTCTGTTTTAACATTTCTGTTGCAAATAAGTGATGGAGTCTATTATTTTTTAATGCTATTATTTTTTATTTTATTTTATTATTTACATTTCATTTTAAGAAATGTCCTTTTGATTACAGTTTTAATGCAACCTTGTCTTTTGTCTTGATATTCAAACAGTAAATAAATCTTTTTTTGACAGGAATTTTGCCAGTCTGTTGCACAGCTGGACACAAACTAGATACCGTGGAAGCAAATTTTAACCATATTTGGGAGCATTCATAAATATAACAACTTTATAAATAGTCTTAATGTTTTTACTGGCTATCACTTTTGCCAGTCAAATTCTTTCACTATGAATTAATTTTATATGTGCACCAATCTCTAAACTGACAATTTCAAACCAGGTACAAAAGTACATGATGTACTATGATCATGAAATACGAAGAGGTGCAACACGAACCATTTTTCTTTGATGTTACATATCGTAGAATCAAAATGCCATAAATTTTAAGATCTCCCGTGATTTCATGTACCATGAAGAAATAAATTTTTGCAAATTAAACTATGATGTGGCTATTGCAAAGACACAACCCACTTTCAATTATGTTAAAAATGTGGGGAAATTTTAAATTTAGAATCGACAAAAATGATATGAATATTTGATTTTGTATGATGTAAAGAAAATAATTTTTGTTATGCAAATTTTCTTGTTTTTAAAATTTTTATTGTTGACATTATTATAGATGTCCCCACTTTCCTCCCTTTTGCCCCCTTCCACCCCCCTCTACCCCCCATTCCCACTGGCCATCCCACACTGTTGTCTCTGACCATGGGTTACACATATATGTTCTTTGACTAAGCCCTTCACCTTTGGGGGGTAGGTATTGAATTGAATGAGTAATTAATTATTCCCTTGATTGACATTATAAATCTAAGAAACATTAGCAAAATAGAACAAAACAAAAAAGAAAAATAAAGAAAATACCCTTCTAAAATCAAACAAAAAAATCATTACTACAGAAAAAAGCTATAAAACAATAACACTGAAAAGAAATAGACTCTACATTCCCACATTATACTCCATTAATTGGACTCTTATGCTTTGTTCTATTCTTAATGATAATTCACAATATTATTGATAATAATTCTTCCTTTCACCAGCTGTAATGTATTCTTTGCTTTTGTTTAGTGTGTTTAGTTGGCATTAAAAATGTTTTAAAATCTTGTAAACATTTTTTTTTCAGGCCTGCGCTATTTGCCTTCGTTGCATATACTCCTGCTACACCACAATGAGTTAACAAACATCAATGCAACAGTGAAGGAATTAAAGGGAATGCTGAATCTGAAGACCCTAAGTATTTACACTTTTATATGGCCATAAATTAAAATAGTAAAACACGGGAAATTTTTTTTAAATTTAAATTAGATCAATAACTAAAATATTTAGATATTCCTAAAAACAAGACTAGATCTGTTCCTTTTAAAAATATGTTTTGGAAAGAACAACAGGTAGGAAAACAAATTTTGTGGAATGATATGACTTGCCAAAAGTAAGTGACAAAAGTGTCCACAGATGATTTACATGATTAAATCTGTGGTTTTGATTTTATCTCAGAAGTAGGTTTTAGCACATATTATATGTTTCCATTTATATGACATGCCCATCTATCATGACAGCAACCCTAAGAGGGAACTATTTTAAAACAGGTCAGTGTTTTCCCAGGACTGGGGGTTGAGGACACTGGGGGGTGACAGCTAAAGAACAAGGGGTGTGGGGTTTCTTTTTGGGGGTGATGAAATGCTCTAAAATTGACTGTGGTGATGGTTGCCCAACTCTGTGAGTATGCTGAAAACATGAATTGTATACTTAAAATGGATGAATTGTGTGGCATGTGAATTATAGCAATAAAGCTCACACACACACACACACACACAAAAACAACTAAGTTTGTTTTTTGTGTGTGTGTTTTTTTCCAAAATATGTTTTTATTGGTTTCTAAAAAAGGAAGAGAGGGGAAGAGAGAGAGAGAGAAACATCAATGATGAGAGTCGTCATTGATCCGCTGCCTCCTCTACGCCCCCTACTGGGGATCAAGCGCGAAACCCGGCCATATGCCCTGACTGGGAATCGAACCATGACCTCCCGGTTGATAGGTCAACGTTCAACTGCTGAGCCACACTGGCCTGGCCCAACTAAGTTTTTATTTAAGCTTTTAATTGGGTGAGCAGCAGACTTCATTCATGAATACTGACTCACACCCAGCAAAGAAATGGCCTCAGTTATTGGAAGAGAGTAAGAGATGCAGTATTGGAAGAGAGTAAGAGATGGGTTGGAAAAATAAATAATACACAGTTCCTACTCTCAGTAAACTGATAGTATTGAAGTGTAAATAAACCGGTACGCAATCGCAATACAGGCCAAATTGTTCTAGGTGTACCAAGGGAAAAGGTACTCAGGTCGATGAGTGGGTTTTCAAACTTCAGAGTTTGGAAACTTCTTTATGTAATGTTATGACATGGATGGTTTGTGGTGGTTTGGTTTTTTCCTCTATTCATTTTCTATTCATTTCTCAGAATTTCCAGAGACAGTATTTTTAATATGTGTAAATTGGTGTTGATGGTGGAGGCTCTAATCAGATCAATAACACTGATAGTGATTAAAGTTTTCATACATTTTCAATGTTAATCAGTTACATGTACTGAATTTAGGAGAAATGGTTCATGTGCTTATAACTGAATTCTTTAAACCCAAGTATTAGTATTACCAAGTTCATGGCAATTTTATGCTTATTTTTGAGATGTGATAAGGTCTGTGACTCAGAATTATCCTTCATGTTTGAATTATCTGGCCCTTCTGTGCTGAACAGATGCTTTCATGATTTAAAGACTGGTTATGCTAGATTGGAATTCTCACTTCATTTTTCTATAAAATGAGCTAATAGCTACTTCTCAGGATTGCTTCAAATATTAAGCTATTTCTGTAAAACATTTCTTAAAAAAGCATTTTTGACATTAATGCTATTTTGATATAGCAACAAAAACAAAAATTGTTTAATTGTGGTTTTGTAGATTAGATAATGAATTAATATGCACAGTCCAGAAATTCTGCTAAATAGTAAATAGATTAAAAATATAACTGACAATTTAAATAATGATCATTATAGTAACTTTTTCAAATGTCTTTCCTGTTGAGAAAATGTTTTCTTAGAATATTCTCATTCAAATCTTCACAGCAATCCTATGACATGATTAGAATTATTTCCCTTTAGTGGTGGAAATACAAGGCTCAAAGCTTTAAGCAAACTGCTAAGAAATGTTGAAACATAGTTATGCCTCATTTCTTTTAATTATCTATTTATTTACTCATTCAGTCAATAAATATTTATCATTTATTCATTCGTTCAACAAATATTTACTATGAGATGCTCTACTAGATGGGGAAACAAAAGTGAACAGGAAAGGCCTTGTCTGGACCTCTGTGGAGCTTACAGTTTTATAACTCTCAGGCTAAATATTTCTTAGAGTTGAAAGGGTTTGATTCAAAACTAATTGGATAATTTGCTAAATATAAGAACTCAATTTAAGCAAAGTTATTTCGCAATACAAAATTTGGAGGTTAGCAATCAAGGTTTTCCCGGTCATAGTCAGCAGGATTATGTGCCTGCCCCAGGAATGAGGGACTCTCAAACCAGCCCCGAGGCCACTTGTCTGTCAAGTGTGTGTGTGAACACAGACTTGTGTCAGCCCTGAGTGTGGTGCAGGAGTGCCTTTTCTCAACCTATTCAAGTTATAGAATTATAATCATTCCAACTGGGAATCTTGTAGTGGGATATTTTGAAATGGAGAAAATGTGTCCAATTACACACAAAAAAGCATTTTTTGAAAAATTTTGGTTGCAAGTATGCAGATTTTGAACCTTTGCCCCATTTTTGTTAAATTGTATGAGGAAAAAATGTTTACATTTACTAAACTACTAATTGTATTTGTGCAGTTTCTGTGAGCCTCATTTGTAATCACAGATTAGATTCAGCTCATTAACTATGAGAAGTTCATGTGTTTTTGAAATGTTTAAAATTTTTGCCTTTTCAAGTTGCAAAACCATATAAAATGCTGAAGTGTTTTTATTATTCCACTTCAAGTGCAAGTTCTTGAGAGGGTGAGAAGATGGCCTGGAGGTAAACCTCTAATCCATCTCAGCATGTACCATCCACTGGCATTTATGAGGAGAATTGCCAAGAACTGGCCCGGGAGACACACGCCTGGGAGCTTCAGGGAGGCCTGGAACCCGGCTGCAGAGTGTGAGGTCCTGGAAACTGGAATTCCTGACTTCCAGGCTGAGTCAGGAGGGCCCCACCCCTTCTCTCCAGGCGGTCTACCTATCCACACCCTCCTTCCCCAGCTCCGTTTTCCTCTTCGCTTCCCACCTCCAGACTCCTTCTAAATCAGGATCTACATGTGTCAAAGACACACTTCCTGGCTGGTGACATTCACTCACCTGCAGTCCCCCAGCCCTTTTCCCAGAATCGAGAGAACAAACCCCCACCAACAGCAACAAAATACTTACACTTTCCTTCTCCTGAACTTTTAGTCTCTGCATTTCTCTCAAATTTTCTCTCTCTCATTACCTTCACTATTGGAGAGTATACTTAGACACCTACATTCCATAATTTGTAAGACTTGCTTGTTAGCAGAGCTATAAGGAGTCACCACTGAAGACAGAGAGTGCCTTTTCAAGACGGGCCTTCATTTTCTACAGATTCTGCTCTTAAACGTTTTCACTGGGCCCTCCCTCACTGGGCCGCAGTCCACCGCTGCCAGCAAACGGCCCAGGAATGACTAGGGATGCTGAGAGCTCAGGGTGGGACCACGATCTCAGTGGTCTCTTCATTTGGGCCTCTTAACCTGAAATGTCCCTCAAGGTGGGACCACCCATCCCAAACAACAAAACAGAACAATAAAAAGAGCTGGGTTGTCACTGCTGTTTGTCCCGAAAAAGAGAATATTCTGACCCCTCCACTCTGTTCACCCCCTGCTTTAGTGGTATGCGGTGGTCATAGGTTTTAGTTCAAATAAGACGGGGATCATCGTGGAGATGCTGACCTTTCTAAGTAACCTTGAGCCAGAACCTTAAGCTCTTAGTGTCTGATCACTGACATCTGAACTCCCTCCCACGGGCCGCGCTGTATAGGCCACAGCACATACGCTTTTAGCTTCTCTAGATCATTTCCCCACACGTCAGAATGGCTACGTTGGTACACTATTAATTACATCAACTTTCTTCAAAGGTGGTCTTAAAAACATTCGGGTTCATTTAAATTATGATTTAAAATTTTGCTTTAAAAGTTTAAATACATTAACTGAAGCCAATTAATTAGATGCCTGTATTTTTTCTCTTCTGTTTCAATAATAAGTAGATTCACACATGTGACTTATGTGACTCAAGTGTGTGCAGTAAGGTGGTAGAGACATTTTGATATATTATTGGGTGAATGTAAATTGCTTAGACTCAGAATCCCAAATTAAGATAAGCAAGACAGCGCTGGCGCCACTGAGGTGCACTCCGTAAGCAGCCTAGAGGGAGGGCGGATTAAATAGTATTAACCTATTGAGAGTGAAAGTGTAAGCAGTTTTGCTTCATGCTTTCTAAAGGAATGTACCCCATACATCACGAAGGCTTTCAGAGCTTTCAGACACAGGAAACCGGTTTCATATCTTAGAAACTTAATTTATGGTAATTTTAGTAGCATCAATCCAAAACTCGTAAATCCAAAATGTGAAATGCTTAATAGTATAGCAGGAGGGGGAGGCAAAGACAGTTAAAAATACGAATGCTTCCTTCTAAAATTTAAGAGCCGGGGGAAAAGCAAAGGCTAATAAGGATGAAATGCCTTTCAAATGATTTAATTCTATTTATTTTTTAAGTTAATTTAGGTTTTCAGACTTGCTGTCACTTAGATTTCACTTTACAATGAGACGAATGTGGAACCATAATAAGCACATCGGATTCTGAGTATTGAGACATCTTCTTAAGAAACTAATGTAATAGCAGTAAGTCCAAATCTGAAGCCAGAAATTGCTGGTTTTAATTTATATAAAGATGTTACTTAACTAAGCACCGGGAGAAAAAAACCAAGAAAAGAAGCAGTCATGATCTCGGAGGGAAAGAGAGTGTGAAGGGTGTGGGAGCAGTAGCATCGCTGGAAGGTGCTGGTGCGTTTTCCATTCGCGTCCTGTGCGGGGACAGGCCCTGCTCCAGCTGCTGCGGTGAACGACAGTGGAGGCGTCGGAGCTGATTCGCCCAGATACAGAGCAGACTCCCGCGCCAAAGAACATGTGACTTTCTCTCCTCCTAAACTCATTAAAAACGATTGTGTTTTGCTTTTATATCCTTGAAGGATGTCTTTTCTCTTTCTGGCTCAGAATACAATGCGTGATCCCTGTGGATCTTTTTAAACCTGTCCTTGTTACTGGTGTAATATATGCCCATTCTATTCCCTGTTCTGTAGTTATAATTATGTGTTTCCACTTTAAATTCCTTCTCTTTTAAGATTAAAATTCAAACCAGTTTGGCCCTCACTTAGGAAATCTTGAACAATATCCATTTCATTTTTCCTCTCAACCCCAATACATACATATTTCCTTTAAAAAAAAAAAAAAAAAAAATTGGTGCTCCTGGCTGTATATTTTCTTTTATGCCTTTCCTTAGTCTTAAAACGTTTGTTTATGATGCACCAGGTGTCTTCCATTGCCTGTCTTAAATCCCTCTAAAACTCATGTTTTCCGCAGGGAATAGCTATATATAATGATTTTATTGGCCATAAACATTTGTATTTATACAACAAATATTAGAACGTTAGATTAACTACAGAGAAAACATTCAGATGATTAATAATTTCAGTTTTTTGAATTTGTTGTTGTGTTTTAAGCATGCCCTCCCATCTTTAGATTGCAAACTCTTCTTTATAAATGTTAATCAGTTTTTTTCTGGATTTCTAATGCTTAATATTTTCATGATTTTATCAAGCCTGCTTGTATTTTATAAAGAGTTGAATGCTATAGGAGTATTGCTAAATTTAACATGCACACTAAAAGAGCCTCATTGTTGAAAGAGTGCAGTTGTACAATAGCTGGAGCTCTTTCTGCTACTGCCATCTAGTGGTCTTCACTAGATGTATTTTCCAGAAGTTTTTTCTAGAAATTGCATGTAGAAAGATATCCAACTGGAAATCGTAAAAGTTTTCACATTGTATCGAGGGAAAAACCAAACAAACCCTGTTTAATATTACCTAAAGAAGAACAGGGACATATTTTACCTTTTCCTTGAAAATAAAACCCTCACAACTTCCTAGTTGAAGATTTGTAAAAATGTTCCACATACCTATGCCTGAAGAATCTGACGTCGGAAGTGCCAGGAGCTCCTCGACGCCCGCGTGCCTCCCACCTCCAGCCGCCAAATTAGCCAGCATGGCCCATCAGGTTTCCCAGCACCTGTGCACAGGGCCTTGAGCCCCCTGCACCCGGCCAGAGGCGGACAAGATGCAGCATCCACACCTGCTCAGCTCTGTTCCTGCTGAGATCTGAAGCTGCTACCAACATGTACATACTCTGAACTGTGGGCAATGGTAGGAAGTGGAGAAAGAACACAGAGCCCAGCCCCTCTGCCCATCTCTACACAGGCATCCTCATGACCTTGGAGCCTGGAAGGAGAGAATCAATAAATACTTTGCTATAAAGAGCAGCATTGAGGCCCCATAGAGCTGATAATCTAGGTCTTCCTTGCAAATTAACTTATGGACATGTTAAAATTTTTCTCATTTGTGGCAAATTTCGGTCAATGATATGTCCCCGCACCTAGCACAGTTCCTGGTAGACAATAAGCACTCAAAATATTTGTTGAATGAATAAATTTAACAGATAGGAAAAGTAAGTGCTGCTCTGAGTAAGTAAGGGTTAGCTGAGGCTATTGGCTTGGTCTGTGGAGCAGAGCTGGACATGTCCTTGTGTTTTATACTAATCCTGCAGTTTTCTGGATTTTATCAAGTGATAAATGAAACTAATTTTGAAATCTGATATCTTTGCAGGTCTCTACCAAAACCCTTTGTGCCAATATAACCTGTATCGTTTATATATCATCTACCACCTTCCTGGAGTGGAGTTGCTTGACCGAAATCGTAAGGACGCCTTTTCTTGCAGAGAAATATTTGAGGGGCAGTCGTAGTTCGGTGGTTTAAAAATGTTGAATATCTTTGAAAATAATTTTCTGTGTAAATGAAAGTTTTAAAACTATTATCAAAAACTTTGCTCTATGAAATTTGCCCTACTCTAGGAATTTATGACTCTTGACTACTGTCTTGGAAAGGTCATCTGAGTGTGAAGATAGGTCTCCAGATTCTGATTTATACGCTAATGTGTTAAATGCCAAATCATTTACCCCCTGGTACTTTAGTTTCTTATTTCAAAAATGAGAGAATTGGACTGAATCTCTTAAGGTCTATTTAAGTTCTGAAAACCATATACTTTGAAATTCTGTAAACATATATAATAAAATGTATATAATCAATGATAACTTCTTCATGAGTATATCTTTAGACATTGTAGATAAACTAGCATATCTGATCCATATAAGCTACAAAAACGATCAGTGGGTTACATTTTACATTTTTGGAGGCCTGCCTGCTTTATTATCCATCTATGTACTTAGCTTTCTGTCTCTAGGTTTGCACATTCTTAATAATGACTGAGTACCTTCTTAAAGAGGACTTATCAAAGCCTTATGTTTACGCCTCCTCTCCCTCACAGCCTTGAGGAAATGAGGGATGTAGCAGAGATGAGATCTCAGTCATCCGTGGTGATGTGTTAGAAAGGGCCTGGGAGGCATTAGGGTTGACTGTGCCTGTGACCTGAGGGGCATATACGGGGCACTTGTACGAGTATGGGAATAGCTGTGATAGCCCTTCACAAATTAGTTTTGACAGGATGTTCACATCTACCATAATTCAGATAAAAATACAGGGTGTCCCCAAAAAATGTATACATATTTTAACAGCTGATAGCTCAATTTTGAAAATGAAATATATTTTAATAAACATTGCCTTTATAATTATTCAAAGTGTGTGTATGCATGTTTTGGGGGACGCCTTATATTTTTTGAAGGCGTTCAAATCTGTTTTGAATTACCATGTATATATATTTATACTGTTAGGCAATAACATTACTTATTGCATTCATCAGAAGTTACAGAAAAAGAAAGAAGATCAATGATTACCATTTTTAACCATAAAAAGGCTCATATTCTTCAATCAATAGCATTCAGAGGAAAAGTAGATGCCTCATGGAATCCTAGATCACCTTTTAAGCAAAAACCAGCCCAGAGAGTACCTTCAGGTATTTTCAAAACTGAAATCACAATTTCTCAAACTTTTGGGTAATTTGATAATAATAATAACTGCAATTTACAATAAGTTAAGTACCTACATAGTGAAATAAATATTTTCTAATTAGTCAAATTAAAGGGATGTGCAATGCTTATCTTCATTTACGTATATTGAATTAAATGAGGTAGTGTGAGAATAATGAGACATCTCGATGAATTCCTGACCCCAGTATGTAGCACAGTATAACGGGATCAGTAAGTAAGCTACAGTTGTTGTTCTACTGTCACTGGACAACCTCACCAATTAAGGCTGGAAGTTTTTGCTAATATGGAAAACATATTCAGAAGAAATAAAGATTGTCTATGATTTCTCCACACAAAAATAAGCACTGTTAACATTTTGGTCATTATATGCAAGTATAAGTTGAATATATTCAAGATGTTTTATTAGCTGGAATTAATTTCTTGTATGTAACAGAAATCCAACTGCAGTGACTTACACAAATAGAGGTTTATGTTTCTCACATAGTAAAGAAGTACAAAGGTAGGGCTCCAGGTTAGTGTAAAGTTCATCGATGTCATTAGTGTTCAAGAATACACCTGTCTTTTGTTCTGCTATTTTTAGTGTGTTTTATGGTATAAGGGGGCTGCTGCACCATCAGGCATCACAAAGAGGGATTTAAAAAGATACAAAGACAAAAGCCTTTTTCCTCATGACACTTTGCAAACATACATTTGAAAATGAAAATATATTCTCGAACAGATTTTCTAGAAACAAGGGGGAAAATATTAAATTGGAAGGGTTTTGAAGAAATTATTCAGAATGCAGCACAGAGAAGGCAAGATATGGAAAATATTAATTAGCTGTTGAGATAAGAAAATATTAGAAAGATAAGGTTCAATATAAATTTAGTAATCCTGAAGGAAAAAAATTAGAGAAATTTGGCAGAGGGTGATATTTGAAGTAATAAAGCTGGGAATTTTCCAAATTTGGTAAATGATATAAATCCCTAGATTCAACAGACAAAATTAATCCAAAGACATAAAAGACTGATGACAATAAAAATCCACCCCAAAGGCAAAATAATCTTAATTACCTAGAAAAGAATAATTTCTAGATTCACAACAGGCTTCCCGACTGCTATTATGGAAGTCAGAAAACAGTGATCTAACACCTTTAAAATGCTAAGGAAAAGTAATAATTAACCAAGACTTTTATAGCCAGCTAAGTTATACAGAGCAAGAGCGAAAAAAATGAGGGCAAAATCGGGACTTTTCTCTTAACTATTTACTGTGAAATTTTTCTAAAATAGAAAAAGTTGAAAGAATATTAAACACCTATATATGCCCATGTATATTCAATAATAGTATTCTGCCATATTCACCACCCTCTGTTGAGACTTTGCCGTATGTAAACTGGAAAATATAAAAGTATTGCTGAACCATTTAAATACTTCAGTAGCAGGCATTATGACATTTCACTCCTAAATAATTTGGCCTGTAAATTTAAAAATTACATTATCCTATATAGCCACAAGGCCATTATCACACCTAAGAAAAGTAACATTTATATATTGAATACGTAATCCATATTCAGATTTTCCCAGTTACAAGTTGGCTTCCACAGCTGCTTTTTCAAACCAGAATCCACTCAAGAGTCATAATTACACTTGGCTGTTCTGGCTCTTTAGTCTCTTTTCATTTAGAATAGATCCCCAGATTGTTTCCATGACTTTTTGAAGAGACCTGGCCCGTTGTAACAATGTAGAATCTGTATGACTGTTTCCACCGTGTCACTTAACTTGTTCCTTCATCCCTATGTGTCCCATAGAAGAGGCGTAATGCCTGGAGGACGTCCTGGATGCAGAAGAGTATAGTGCAGAGCAATGGTTCTCAAAATGTGGTCCCCAAACCAGCAGCAACAGCACTTAGTAATTTGTTACAAATGCTAATTCTTGCCCCAAATGAGAGCTACTTAATTAGAAACCCAAGGGTGGGGCCCAGGGAACTGCTTTAACAAGCCTTTTCAAGTGATCTGTGCGTACTCCAATTAGAGGACAACCTGCGTAGAGGCAAGAGTACAAGCTTTGAGGTCAGCCTCCCTTGGGTTTGAACACCATCTCTTCTAGTAAGTAAAAGTTGTAGTTTGGATATTAATTTGCTCCAGCTTTCTGATCTGTGGGAGACTTAAGCCAGCCACTTGCAAAGGGAAGGATGCCATCAGCTCCTCTCTTAAGGCAGAGGCTGAGCGCTCCCTGCTGCTTATGGATTGCCAAGAGCTCACCCTGGGCTTTGGTGGCCCAACAGGTGCTGCTACATTCCATCTCCAGCCTGGCACTAGGCCTTCTGAAGAGGAATGAATGAAGCAGTGATAGTCTCTGCAAGATCCTGTAAGAAACCCAAGCTTCGAGGACTAGCCTTTGAGCTCCAGAGCTAAGGAAGATACGGATTCCTGTGACCTGGGGTTTATTCCGTTTCTTTGAAGTTAATGCCAAGAATCCAAATGGTTTAAATTGCCCTAAATATTTCTCCTCATTTGGTCTATATTCTATTTATAGATACATGTGCCTATCTTAAAAAAAAAAAAGAATCAGTTTCTGCATCTGAGACTCAGTATCTCAATTATAAAAACTCCCACTTGGGTCCCATTGGTAACTACATTGATTAAGCATTCTGTTCTCAGAGTTTGGAGATGCGTTTTGTATTTAAAAATTTGCCTCAAGCCCGGCCAGGCATGGCTCAGCGGTTGAGCATCGACCTAGGATCCAGATCAAGGTTTGAATCCTGTTCGGGCACATGCCCGGGTTGAGGGCTCGATCCTCAGTTGGGGGCGTGCAGGAGGCAGCCGATCAATGACTCTCTCATCATTGATGTTTCTGTCTCTCCCTCTCCCTTCCTCTTCCTGAAATCAATAAAGATATATTTAAAATGAATAAATGAAAATAAAAATTTGCCTCAAAACCTAAGACAAACCTAAGGTACTGTATCTAAGAGGAAGTTTCAGTTGGGGCTTTGGTATCAAGGCTTTTTTGATGGATCTGAATGCTTGCTCGAAGACCAGAGAGCTATACTCTAGACTTTTTCTTTACACCATTGTCCCATTGTTTTAAAATGCTAAACGTTTGAAAGATACTAATTCAGAAATGTATTTTTTTTAGATTTTGCATTTGCGAATAATGTAGAGAAGTAAGTGATTTTTAACTTTACTTTCATTACTGGATTATTTTGTAACTGCTCACCCCCTAAATTATCCCCACTTCCCAAAATAGATTTTAATGAGTTAAAAAAATGATTAACTCTTCAATAGGAAAAATTGCTGTCTTTCATAAATGAATTCAACTATATATTCATATTTGACATATTTAAATTTTAATATTATTTTTATAACCTAAGATAAAGTGATTTGATTTGTAAAAAAATAAAACTTAAGAACTATTAGCTATTACAGATGAGAGTCTTTACCTTTCTTGTTTACTGTTCCCCTAAATATGCCCAGTGAGAGCAATTATTAACATTTTATACTCACTGGAATTTACATTTTCAAAAGCAAATACTTCTGAAACTATGAAAAACATTTCAAATTCATGAATATTGATGAATTTAAAAACCATTATCTCTTTTAATTTTTAACTTAGGAATTTTTTCTGACTCAGTGTTGAAAAATATTATCCCCAAGCACATTTATAAAATATAGCATAATACAGAAAATATTCCAGTAAAATGTACATAAAATACTAATGTGCATATGAGATCTAGAAATACTTTAATCATTTCATTTAACACTGGTTTAAAACATGAGTGTATAAATTTGTGAGACCTAAACTGTAATAGCTGATCCCAAATTTGGTCAGAAACTCTATTATTAAAACTCTATCCATGAAACTGTATAATATACTTGTTAGTGGCACCTTAAAAAAATGTGGCATTGAGATGTTTAAATTAAAAATTCATTTTGGTCTAATTGATATTTTTTTGACATAATTGCTATTTTTGCAGAACTGTGTTTGATGACCCAGAAGATGCTGTTTTTGTAAGGTCCATGAAGAGATCGGTGATGGCCATTACCTCTCTGAACTGGGACACAGTTCCAAAACGAGAGGAAAAGTACCTTGAAGACAAAGGCACAGAACCTGCTCAAATGTTCACCATTACACTGAGATAACCCCTGGTATTTCTAGGACTCCTAGTGGTTTTCAGTTATATATTAAACTTCTCTCTGTATTATGACATTACTTGAAACATTTAAATATAAACAGAAACACCAATAATGAAAAATAATTCCCACATTTTGTGTTACGTTTTTGTTAAAGTAAAACACGTATATAGAAATGTACACAAATCATAAGTGCTCGGCTCAACAAATTGTCAGTGAACACATCCATGACAGTGGCATCCTAGATCGAGAACTAGAACATTGCCAGCACTCTAAAAGCTGCCTCATACTTGTCACCAGTCCTATTACCCATTATTACCCTCACTTCAAAAGTAATCCCGTCCTGATTTCCAAACTGTACACTGATGGTGTCTGTTTTTGAAAGGCATATGAATGGAATCACAGAAGTTGAATTGTTTTTTGTTTGGCTTCTTTTACTCAACATTGTAAAATTCACCCGTGTTGTTGCTAATAGCAGTGATTCTATTGTTCTCCTTGCTGTATAGTATTCCACTGGGTGATTATACCACAATTAATCCAGTCTGCTGTTTTGGAGGCATCTGTAATTTGTATGTGGGATAGGCTGAGCTTTGCCTAGCCAGAAAAACGCTGCTAGAGGACAGAGAAACTAGAAAAGCTTTCAGCTTGCGTGGTAACGAGACACAAAACCGGATGGTCAAGGTAACTCAAAACACATCACTGGTTTTCTCCAGCTAACGAGCTAGCTCAGCCTGGCCGGCGTGGCTCAGCGGTTGAGCATCGACCTAGGATCCAGGAGACTGAGGTTCGATTCCCGGTGAGGGCACATGCCTGGGTTGTGGGCTCGACCCCAGTAGGGGGCGCACAGGAGGCAGCCAATCCACGACTCTTCATTGATGTTTCTCTCTCTCCCCCTCTCCCTTCCTCTGAAACCAATAAAGATGTAAATATTTTACATATTTTTTTAAAAGTACTAGCTCAAAAGCTTACAAAAAGCAGGGTGACATTTCCCCCTACGTGATGGTGATTAGAACCATCACACTGTTACAGATATACAGGGTGGGGCAAAGTAGGTTTATAGTTGATCATATGAAAAATAATTAGTAAATAATAATACAAGAATAAACTGTTTTGCGAACTCACAACTGAGAACCTATTTTTGCCTTACCCTGTACTGTAGAGGTGGGGCTGACATCAGAACAGGCAGATGAAAGCCCTAGAGAGAGAAATGAACTGTCACTGAGAATCTAACAAACATTTGCCTGCGGGCACCTATGATTCTGTGCACAGCCAGAGTCAGAAGTTCAGGTATGGTCCCTGGCAGAAGGTTACAGCTGAGAAAGAGTTTGGCATTTATGTGGGTGTGTGGCTGATATCAAGGGAAAGTGATGGCTTGTGGCTTCCAAGATTAGGTCATAGAAAGAATCGAAATGTCGTCCTGTTCTCTCTCCTGGGTCACTTATTCTGCAGGAAGCCAGCTGCCCTTGGTGTGACGACACTTAAGCAGCCCTCTGGAGAGGTCCATGTGGTGAGGAACTGAGGCCTCCTTCCCCAAGCCGGTGAAGAACTAAGGCCTCTGCCAACAACCATGTGAGCTGCAAGGCATCGTCCAGACTCAGTTAAAGCCTCAGATGACTGCAGCCCTGGCTGAGCTGCACTGCACTCCTGAGAAACCCCAGGCCAGAACCACTCAGGTAAGCTGCTCCTGTATTTCTGGCGGCTGAAACTGAGATCATGCTTATTGATGCTGCATGCTGGTAAGTTTTGGGGGTAACTGGTTACACAGTAGTAAGCATGGTCACACAGATAAGCAGTACAGTAACCCAGCATAATCCATGGTGCTAGAAATATTTGTTGGAAGTAAGGATGGTGTTTGAAGTCTCTGGCAAGCTCTCAGAGTCACAGTCCAGGGGTCTTGAATAAGGCCACAGCAGCAGCAGCAGCAGCAGAGAACTGGTCACTTCAATTAGCGCTTGGCGTGCTACTGCATCCGTTCCAGAACCGAGCGCCTGGCCATCGAGCAGGTGACAGTTTGATCAAAGCTACTCGTGACCTGAGTATATCAGAGCCACCAAGCAAGTGTTGGCTGGGTACAGCTACAACCCATTTCAGGATGGAAATGTGTATTTAAATGGGACCAGGTTTAAGCTGGCCCAGGAGTTGCATAAGAAGTGTTAATTTTTAATTAGATTGTAAATACGTTTAGGATGGGATATTGTAATCTACAGGTTAACCACTGAAAGAGTAGTAAAAGAAGGTGTAGTCTGGTATTTTTAAGCCCACAGTCACCGGAAAGGATGAAAAATGTATTCCAATGACAAAAACATGGCTAGGATGTCTTACCTGTCTCCTTAGAGAACCAACGGAAATGTTTTGTTTGAATGAAAAGATCTGCTTTAAAATGCACTCAATACCAAACATTTTTGTTCAGTAATGAAGGGCTACTGAGTGTCTGAGATTTAAAAACAGAGAAAATATTATTTGGGGAGAATCTAAAAGTAGAGAAGACACGATCCTTACTTATGTAACCTAAAACTCTACCAAAACGGAAGACACAATTGAGAGGGTGCTTTTAATCTATTTGTTTTAAACAACAGAGGCCCACTTACACTGGCTTAAGTGAAAGCATTATTTATTTCAGGATCCACCAGATTTCATGCCTAGGAAACAAAAAAACAATATAAAGAACTTACAAGGGAATGGCTACAGGCAGGGGCTCTGGAATCAGAGACCCAGCTTAGCTCTTCCACTTATTAAGCATTAATTTCCTATATTTAAAATAATAATTGCAGTTATCTCATGGAGACTGAAGAATTAAATCAGATAATGTATGTAAAGTATTAGGTAGAGTGGCTTTGTCAAAGTAAATGCTTAATATATTTTAGCTAATAGTTATTCTTACCCCAAGAGCAGTTATGCCCCTTGGGGACTATGCCTGTTGTCATACACTGAATGTTTATGTCCCCCCAAAATTTTTATGTTTCAATCTAATCCACAATGAGAACGGTACTTGGAGATAAGGCCTTTGGGAAGTAACTGATCATGAGGGTGGAACCCTCATGAATGGGATTAGCGCCCTTATAAGAGATTAAAGAGCTAGCTTGCCGTGTTTCTGCCCTGTGAGGACACAGCAGGACGGCCCTCTGTAAACCAGGAGAGGGCACTCACCAAGAACTCCACAGAGCTGGCACCCAGATTTCTGACTTCGAGCCTCCACACTGTGAGAAAGCAGTTTGTTGTATAAGCCACCTTCACCTATAGTAATTTGTTATAGCAGCCTGAACTAATCTCGGACACCTGACCTATGTCAGGGTTTTTCAGAGACAGAATCAACCAGGGAGAAACTATGCTAGGGCTACCTTATGG